GTCCTGCAGGCTCTGAGAGAAAATTAATTTGTAATTTGTAAATTAAAATATAGCTGTATCTGCAACTGTATTTGATAATGTTTTGAACTTTTAAAATATTACATGGTAAAAACAGAAGCTGCTCTTCATATTAGTGACAAACTTTGGTGTTTTTTGATGAGTTACTTTCATTTTTGCTTCTACTTTTCTTTTAAAATATACGGAGCCCACGAGCGGACATGGGGGATTTTTTTTCTTTTTGTGTTCCCACYCAAAAGTATTGCGTTACCTCGCAATAYCTTTTGCGTTCCCTTGCAAAAGTCATTAAACACGGTTGTGCCTGCCAGTTTATTAACAAACTCACATGTTCACCATTAGCGAGTTAGCGTACTGATTCAGCTTCAGAATGAATATATCGCACAGCCATGCATGGAAATATGTCAAATGCTGATATTTAAACACAGTGCAGCCAGCCGAGCCACGCAACGTCAGTGTCAAATTCACAAACTTGTTGCGAGACATCCTGTTTTGGTAACTGGATATTTCAAAATAAAAGTCTGATTTAATTCAATTCATATAAAAATCAAACTTTTGCGTGGGAATGCAAAACAATATTGTGAGGTAACACAAAAGTATTGCGAGGGAACGCAAAAGAAAAAAAATCCCCCCCATGTCCCCTCGCGGGCTCCGTAAAAATAAGTTTCCATTCTCAGCAGGTTTCTAAGGTTCTTCTATACATTAAAAAAGTTGTTAAACATCTGAGTGGTGCACTACTGCTACTAGTGGTGAGAAAGTGTATTACACCTCATTCAAAATCAAAACAGTCCCACGGCCCTCTGYGGCCCAAAGTTAAAAACTGTTGTTCTTTTGAGGCCCTCAAGGTGGCGCTCGCGGCCCACGGGTAAAGAATCTCTGGCTTAAGTAAGAAAAACAGAAATAAAAGACTTGAAATAGCCTAGCTGAATAGTAGTTTAAAACTAACAGAATAGGACGGATGAACAGGATGTAGTACCTGAGGAGGCTTAGATCCTTTAACGTCTGTGGAAAGCTGCTGTGGTTGTTTAATCAGTCGGTTGTTGCCAGTGTCTTGCTATATGCTGTGGTCTGCTGGGGCGGAAGCATCTCCAAGGCAGATCATTTCAGGCTGGAGAAACAAATCAGCTGGGCTGGCTCAGTGGTCCGCACAAGGCTGGACTCTCTGGCAACAATAGCAGAGAGGAGAACATCACAGAAACTCCTGGCTGTTATGAACAATGGGCCTCATGCAAGAACCGTTGGTACGCACAGATTTGTTCTTAAGTTGTGCGTACGAGTGATTTAGGAGAATTTGTGACATTCACCAATGTTTTCATATTCTAAGATTTTTTTCAGATACGAACAAAATTCAGGAGTGGTCCAGACCTGTCGTATATTTTACCAGCAGTCAGTCTGCTGTTATCCAGACGGGTTTTTGTCCGGTATTTTTACCTGAGACTTTGAAAAACAGCAACCCAACCAG